TTTTTTTTTTTTTTTTACACTAGATACATTGAATTAGAGCTATCAAATGGAATGGACCGACACTTATCATAAATCATATTAATCTACTATTTACTGTCGGCCAAAACATTTTCACAAATTTTCAGCATTGAGAAAACAATAACTACTGATTATGTCATGTAAGCAAGTTGATCACAAAGAAGCTCAAATACAATAATAGAATATTTTCCATTTTATACTCGGTCACGTCAAATAGCACAAGTTTGTGATTCTAAAGGAAGTTCAACAAGATCCTATTTAGAAACACATACGAGAAGAGACATGTACAAAAGAAAAATAGCGCATCTGTGCCATAAAAAGGTGGAGAAGACTATATACAACAGAGAAATAACTGTAATTACATGTTAAGTATTTGTTAAGAAGGTACGAATAATACTGCTGGTGTTGAAGAAGAATGTATCAGCACTTGGTCTCAACCAAAGAACACAGGGAAGAGCAAAAGGAATCCATCTGGCATGAAGGCTAAAGATCGCCAAGAGATCGTTTTGTTCGGTTTTTGAGAAATCGCAAAGAGCTTTATTCGCCTATACAGTTGGAATTGTGTGTCTCCATAACATTGTAGTACAAGGTAGAAGGCTTGCCATCAAATTTTGAGACCAATTGATGAGAAAATAAGCCACAATAACGCTTCCCTAGCCGGGCAATGCATATGTCGATTACTTTCTTGAACATGCAGTCTTCTTGTATAAGGGGTTGCTCCACAAACTCAACTAAGGGCATCCACTGCATAATTGGTGTACAAAAACGCTATCGAGTCAGAATTAATCTTGATACCAGATGACTAAGTTATTAATCTACTAGCAATCAACCATAAGATCATTTGTTTAAAACCAAATAGTATATAATATTTTTGGTTCACCTATTATCGACTTAAATCTCTCAAAAAAATCGAGAAACTAACGTGGACAAGAGCATGTGGTCTCAACTTTCAAGTTCGAACTCCTGTAGTTGCACTTCCTAAGTTTCCTCAAACTAGCTCCTAAGTTCTCTTATGGGGTTCTTTCATTGCTTGTTACTATAAACAATGCACTGTTTCATCAGAGTACCTGAGTTTTCTCTACTTTCCGAACAAATCCTTTTTTGAAATAAGCATCAAGTGTAAATAATTTTTAACATATAGGCAAAAGCCAGAACTAAAAGTAGCTCTTTTACCTTAGCTGCTTGAATTTCAAGATCATCAACTTTTATCTGAGTTGAAAGTGGTCTTAGCATGCAAATGAAGAATAAATCTGATTTTTCAAAAGCCACATTGTGAACGTGCCTGGAAAGAAAAGATGCAGAAATTTATTAGGAAATGGAACGGTCGTTCAGAAGAAAACTCACTCGAGCATTTTTCATTTTAGTTCGAATCCTTAAATGGTATTTACTTTTGAGATAACATATTACTAAATGTGACCAATGGCCATTGCTACCATAAAGTTTAATAACAAGGCTCAGATAAAATACGACATGTTATCGCTACCTGAATGCTATGACTTCTATAAATTCTGTATCAATCTGCAATAAAAGTGAAAGAAATTCAAATTATTGGAATAAAATAGTAAGATAAAGTGTTATGTTCTGTCTCGAAAGACAAAATCTTATTTTCCTGAAGGAATGGAACAAAGAAACATTAAATCTCACCCCAGTTTCCTCCTTGACTTCTCTCACAACTCCTGTGAAGATCTCCTCTGACTGA